TAGTCTCCTTCTAGTCCCTCCTTCACTAGTCTCCTTCTAGTCCCTCCTTCAGACGAGTCACAGGAGTCTCGGTGGCCTCCCTCGTTTTATGTACTGATCAGTATAAACTCAGTTGTGACTTTAAACGTTTAGTTTTGATCCAATGTGAGTAAAAGTGTCTCTGAAGCGTCTTCAGGTCGACCGACTGGTTGGAGACGTTAAATCCTGCAGCGACGACGTTCTGAACCTTCTTCTGCCTTCGTTGTGAAATCCTCCCGTAAATACCAGAGGACGGGCGTGAAGCAGGAGGAGAACAAAGAGGGCGTCGCCCAGAGCGGCAGGTGAGGCGGGAGCGGCGTCGGACCTTTAAAACCCGCCGAGCAGCTGAACCGTCGTCGTGAGCAAACTTCAGCTGCTGTCGGTTTGTTCAGAGGAACCAGAAAGTCCAGAAACAGGGAGCAGCAGCAGAACGTGTGTCGGGTGGAGAAGAACCGAGGCGTCGCGTCATAGAGTGGATCAGAACCAAACCTCCTAAACTAAAGAGTCCAGACATACAGAATCTGCTGCTTTGAAAGAATCCGGATTTAAACCCACATCAGATGAAACTGGTTCAGAACCAGGTCTCCTGACAGGCCCGTGAAGAAGCCTTCAGTCTACAGGAGACGCTAACCACAGAACCTTCGTCTGTCTGCTTCTACCCGTCCTGAACTCTCCCTTCGTGTCCGACCCGCTCCCACAGTGACCCAAACCCACCAACGATGTCGACACCACTAATGACAGAGGTTCTGTGGTTCTGTGGTTCCCTCTGAGACCCGAAGTCACGAGAAGCTGCGACTGGAAACCAGCTGCAGATGGTTCCTGGTTCAGAAGCGTCGCTCTGAGCGGCACCAGAACCCAAAATTTTATCAACCTGCACTCTGACAAACACCCAAGTCCAGAACCTCCTGAGTAAACAAACTGTTTACAGACGAGGTGCTGACTCGACCAGAGTTTTTATAAAGTTTGTTTCTGACGTCGCTGCGACATGAACACGACTAAAGACGTTAAAAACCTACAAAATATGTATATTTATAAATGTTTGTAGATTTAAAAGTGGTTTTAGAAAAGTATCTGACACACAGAATAACATCTAGACCAGTGGTTCTCAAACTGGGGGTCGAGGCCCCCATGGGGGTCCCAAGATCATTTCAGGGGGTCGCCAGACGATTGTATTAAAAAATAAATAAAGTCACATTTCTGACATAAATGTGCATCAGGGCTGTTAATTAAACTTCTCCCCTCTCCTCTTTCAGACTCGTTAATATCATGGTTTGATCATATCATTATTTTTATTCTTTTTTCTTTTCTTTAAATATTTTTTTTCCTTTCATTTGTTCAAACTAAATGTCGTCTTGGTGGTCGTGGCTCAGAACCTTTTATCTGATCTGAATAATGTGTAAAAACTCGTTGAACCAGAATTAAATTAAATGACCTGAAACTGTTTCTATCTTGTGAATATGGATCCAATCAGTGGATTTCTTTACTTTTGACAGAGCAGGAATGTTTCATTGTTTTAAACACCCCCACGTTTGGACCACTTGGACCGGCCCGCCCTGCTGGACTGGACCTGGTGAAGACGACCAGAACCTCCTCTAGCTGTGATTAAAGGTGCAGGAATGTGGACTCACGTCTCCGGCCAGCTGCTGGAAAACCCTCCGGAACTGCTTCTCCTCGTCATTCTCGTGAGCCTCGGCGAAGTTCAGCGGCCGGCGAGGAGCAGGCTGCAAAAAAAAAATGTAAAAATCAACGAACACAAGAAGCTTGTGTGAGCCGGAGACACAGAACCCTCAGTGTGGCGCTCAGAGGGTCCGTTAAGGCTTCAGACCCGGTTCAGGCTGCAGAAACACGCCGTCTCTGACTCCCATGAATCCACTACGTTCAGATTTATACACAGAAAACTTATAAAAACACACAAATGGAGGCGAATTAAAGCCCAGAACTCATCTGAAAACAGGTTTACAGGCTGGTTCTGGGTTCTGGAGCCTCACTTCTCCTGAGCTGAGTCTCAGTAAAAACGCTGCTTATTAAGTTTTTTCTATAAAAACAGGATCAGCGTCTGATTCGTGAGACGTCCTGAGATGTAGATTTAAACGTATTTCTGTGTTTTTATTGGTTAGATGAAGGTAAATGTAAAACCAAAATACAGAAACGATGTTATTCTGAGCTGGATTTTGTTCTTTTCTTTTTTTTTTTAACCCTGTATGATCCACACAAATAAAAACAAATCCTGTAAAATAAATAAATAAATAAATAAATAATCTGTGCCACAAATAAAAAATGTAAAATGTGATGTAAACAAATGCTAAAAATAACAGAGATTAGAGCATTTTAACTCATTTAAAAGCAGTAAAATTGTGTGATTTTATGACTTTAAGTGCATTTACATTTCTAACATACAGCTTCTTAATTAAACAGTTTTTTATTAATTTATTTTTTATTACAATTTAACAAAACACTGAAAATCTGTAAAATAGCTAAATGTTTGTTTTGTTTTTTTTAAAGTTCATTTTTGCAGCTTGGAATCGACTCAAAGAGAAAAAAAATGTCTGAAGAGGTTCATTATAATAACAACAACAACAACAACAACAATAATAATAATAACAACAGAGCAGCTGGTTCTATGTGTTTGGTGGGTACGTGAGGCGGTTTCTTACTTACCGGGTCGGAGGGGATGAACTGAGAAGGATCGATGTTGCTGTCGGAGGGAAGAACAGTGGGACGGTTAGCCTAGCTTAGCACAAACACTGGGAGCGGAGGGAAACTGCTAGCGTGGCTCTGAGCGAGCACTCACCTCGCGACCTTTATGATGGTGTTCAGGAAACCCAGCATGTTGCCGTCTGTTGGAGACAAAGAGGAGATGATCAGTGGTGGTTGGTGGGTTGATGCTCAGTCAGATAAACACGAACACGCCCGGAAACAAATCTGCAGATTACACAGTAACTGTAAATAAAATAAAAACGCGACAATCCAAAATCTATATTAAGAAATGATTTGAAAGAAAAAAAACAACTAAATAATATTTAAAATTTTACAGTTAATATATTTTGAGAAAATTGCAGGAAAAAAAACACCAGTTTACATTTTGGCTGTAAAACAAATAAAAAACAGACCAAAACTGTAAATAATCAAAGAAATAAAATCAACCAACTATATTTTAATCAATGACAATTTGTTCCTTTATATTTAACTATATATATATATACTTGCTGAATTTAAATCAGGAACAATATTGTTATTTTACACATATTTGTCATTATTTTCAAGAATAATTACTTTTAATTTATGTATTTTTTTTAAATCACTCAGACTTTGTCAAACTGGTTTCTGACAGAATTTCTCCTGTTTTGTTAAATTACAAATAATAGATAATTAAAACAATCACAGTAAAAAATGCATTAAATCACATGTTGAAGGAAAAAATAAAAGAAAAAAATGTAAATGATGTAAAAATCAGATATGCATACATTAAATACCTCATCATTTGTTCTTTCAGCGTTTAACTGCAAGAATAAAATGTTTATTTGATGTTTTTCCTGCATTTAAAGCAGGAAACTGTATTTAAATGCTGCAAACACTCTCATGAATCAGTAGAAATGAATAAATAGGAGCAGAATTTATATTTAAAATACATTTTAAACTGTCAACAGGTGGTTTCTCTCCGTTTTAAAGTCTTTTCAGTGTCGTGTTGCCACGGAAAGAAAAAAAAAAGAGAAATGGTTGATAATAGTTTAAACTTTCCATGTTGAGTAGAACAAACATGATCAAAACGCTGCAACACTTTTATGAACCAGTAAAAACGACCGAACATGTGCAGAACTCAGATTAAAGTCCGTTTCAGGAGCCACCAGGTGACTCTTCTGGTTCAACTCTGTCTCTCTTCACTCCAGTCAGTCACCAGCACCAGTGACTCCACCTTCACTGGTTCCGCTCCTCTCTGGTTCTGCTCCTCTCTGGTTCTGCTCCTCTCAGCTCTTTCCTGGCCCACACCTTGTTTACTTCACTGCGCGGTTCACGGTTCGGGTTTTGGTTTAGCTCCGCTGGAATCTTTCAGGTGGTTTCAGAACTAAACAGGACGGAGGAAAAGTTCGGCGGTACTTACTGAGCGGAGCTTCAGCTGCAGACAGACACAGACGGAGGGACGCGGAGCTTCAGCGGACTGGAGCTGAGACGCACCGGAGCGGAGTCTTGAACCGGGACGCTCCCTCTGACGGAACCAGTCCAGCAGGAGTTCCTGCACAATGAATCATCAGCATCAGCTGCTCCACCCAGACACACACACACACACACACACACACACACACACACACACACACACACACACGACCAGGTCCTAAAGCCCTCCAGGTTCCCTGCAAGGAAACGCGCACAAATAAGTCTCGTGGTGCGTTCAGGGACCGACAGGAAAGTTCACACATCGCGTTGTAATTTTTTACTTATTTTATTTTATTTTTTTTGCATTTCCCATCCATCCATCATCTCTACACCTTCATCCTCACCAGGGTCATGGGGGGCGGAGCCTATCCCAGCTGACTCAGGATGAAGGCAGGTTCACCTGGACAGGTAACCAGTCTATCACAGGGCTACACTTAGAGACAGACAACCAAGCACACTCACATTCACACCTACGGACAATTTACAATCACCAATTAACCTCAGCATGTTTCTGGACTGTGGGAGGAAGCCGGAGAACCCGGAGAGAACCCACGCTGCACGGGGAGAACATGGACACTGAGTCCCAGTTGGCAGGTGGAACCAGTTCTGAGTTCTTCAGGATGTGACTGATGAGTGGGACGTCCTGAACACTGACTCCATCAACCAGCTGGTGGACAGAACGCCTCCATGTCTGAACACAGTGATCCATGTCAGGGGGCCAGACTCAGTGTTAGTGACATATAAAGAGTGATACTGGACACTCTGATGCATGGAGTCCCCTCAAACACCTGTTTCCTGTTTTATGACCACAACACAACCCTTCATCCTGCTGGTCAGTCCCTCCAGTTTAGTGTAATCCTGAACACACAGTTTGTAAAAGTTAACTGGTTTAGTTTGTCCTGTGGTGTGTGTTGTATGTTTACTGTGATGTCAATAAAGTTTTAAAAAGATACACACTTTATCGACCAAGAACAAATCATCTTATCATCATGTCATGAGAAGAGGGGCAAATATTTTATTTCAACTTTATGAGCAACAGTATATATATAGATGTTTTAATGTCTTAAATATTGTATCTATATATTATGTCTATATATTGTATTTATATGTCTATTTTTATACCTATATGTCTATACATTGTATCTTTATGTTTCTATCTTGTATCAACAGTATTTATTGTATCTAAACATGTAAATAACGTGTTTATGTTCCTGTCTATTGTATCTATATGTCTATATATCTACACGTCTATACATTATATCTCCATGTCTATATATTGTATCTATGTTTCTATATCTGTGTGCAGACAGAGTTGAGTCCTGAATGGAACCAATCATTATTTTCATTGAACTCATCATTTCACTGATAAATGTCTGAAAATAGTCCAAAAACAATAAAAACAAAAATAAAGAACAGTGAAAAAGCTGAAACCCTGAAACACTGTGTGTCCCACCCAAGAGACAGAACCCCCACCCAGTGGTAACATCCAACCTCCATGTTTTTAATAAACGACTTTAATAAACGACTTTAATAAATGACTTTAATTAAACAGCTCTGGGTTGACATTACGTCAGTTTACTGCTGCTGACAGTGATAATAACTAAAACCTCAGTGAAGCTGTGGAGTTGAATCAGAACAACAAGCAGCTTCGGATCCACCTGAAACATTTCAAACATGCTCCTGGACTTTCTGGTTTTAAAGGGCGGGTCTTAGATGTGTTCCTGTTCCAGTTCTGACACGACGAAGTGGATTCTGGACTGTCTGGAATCCATACCTGACGGTTTATCGTCTCAAATTAAACCGTAAACGCGCCTTTGTTTGGTCATTTAATCTGCAGAAAAACACTGAAGACAGAAAACACTGTGTTTAGTAACAGAAATGTGCCCGTAAATATTGATGCTGCTCAGGTTTTGCTTCTTTTCTTAAAGCTTCTACCTGAACAGGTGATCTGAAACCGTTGCTGCCTCCTTTCGTGTCTCTTCACGGCCGGTTCGAGTTTCTTTGAGCTGCAGCCGATCCGTTGGAGAACTCAAAGCTGTTGTTGTTTCCTCGTTGCTCTCTGCAGAGCAAAACAAACAACCACAACATTCCTGTAAATCCAGACGACCGCTAATTATTCTAATCATCTGAGATTAAAGAGCGTAGCTCACTGCCCTCTGGTGGTCACACAAATGAACTGCAGCACTGCAACACGTTCAAGTAAAGTCAGTTTATTAGGAATATCAAAGTTATTGTTATTATTATTATTATTATTATTATTTTACTTTAGCACCTGTTTGTTCTGTAAATAATGTAAATGTTTCCTGCCCTCTGGTGGTGACGCTGAGAAACTACACGAGATGTTACGGTGAAATGTTAAATTAAATTCAGGAGTAATTAAATATCTTGAATAAAAATACATTAAAGAAACAAGATTGTTGTTCTGTGATCATGAGTTCGAAGCTACAACTCATTACACACATATTACTGATCAGCTGTTCATTTCAATTGTTCTACGCATCGTATTTAATCAACAGAGTAAAATACAAAACTGTGAGTACAAAAAGGGTATTTTTTATTGATAATAGAACGTTTTTGTGGAGGAACTTCACATGATTATTTTTAGGGAGACTCACAGGTGGCCTCCGTCGCTCTTCTGTTTCTTGGGATCATTTATTTTACGTCTTATATTTATTTTGTTCAATAAGCCAAATTAAATTGACCTTAATTCAATATTTAAAGGCAATAAAAGGAGAAAACTTCCAAGATTGTGAACACTTTTTATAGAAACTATGAGTGTTTATTATGTTGGATGTTATTCAGATTTGCAGAACAGCAGCGTCCTTTTAGAATCACACGAATCCGGCAGAAATGTCTTTGAAATATATTTAAAATGATGCATCACACAACAAGAATATCAGCATTTTATGGATTGATGCACCGACGGAAAACTCTAAACATAAAAGCATGAATATAAGGTGAACAAAAAATAAATAAATCTACCTAAAGGGGACTTTAATGGGACAATCTGAGCTCATAAATGAGAATAAAATCATCAGAACAAAGACAAATTAAAGTGACCAAGTCATTTCTGACAAATGTTTTTTTTAATATTTAATTTTTATTTTTAAACTAATTTCAGACAAATATCATGAATAAATTTTGCACCTTTCTTCGTTGTCAAATGAAGATAAGTTGTAGTTGCTGTCATTTTGGATAATTTGCACTCATTTTGGATTTTTTTTTTTTTTTTGTAATTCTTGACTGATTTCAAGTCATTCAGGACCAATTTTTAGTCATTTTGGACACATTTCAAGTCAAAACATGTAAAAACCAGAACCTGTCTGGTCCAACTTCACCACATCAGGTTCTGCTGATGTTAGAGCCTCAACAGGTGGTGAAATGTGACCAGAGACTGGATTTTTTGCAGGAAATATTGGCCACACTCAACATTAATTCAATGTTGCCCAGCGATAAAAGGTGTTTTTTTTAGTGTGTAAGTAGTTCGAGAGCAAATGAATAAAAAAAGAGAATAAAATTCATTGTATGTGCTGACAAACAGCAAATAAAGCTACATTTTAATGGTGGTGCTAAACGTCCCACGGCCCCTGAACGCGGCACGCCTCGCCGTGTGACGTCACCCGGAAGCAGGAAGTGCGCCGCTTGTTGTGAGTTGTCTCGCTGGCTCCGCTTCTTCTTCTTCTTCTCCTTCCTGGTGGCTCTAATGGCGGGCTCCGCGGGTCCGGCTCGGTCCGGTCCGGGACTCTGGTCCTCGGCGCTGCTGCTGCTGGTGCTGGCGGCTCTGTGGGCTCCGGTGGTGCCGGTGTCGGAACCGGGGAAGTGGACCTTGAAGCTGGACAGCGTGAGTTAGCGGGGACGGGCTGCTGTGGCGGTGAGCAGGCGGGCGGGCAGCGGGGCGACTTCAGCGGCTCTCGGGCCGAAGACGCGCTCGTAGAATGCGGCTTTTATTGCGGCCGTTGAGCCTCGGAGGACCCGGAAGTCCGCTAATGTGGCGCAACGCGAGCTGCGTCAGAGAGCGGCAGCGTTAGCCGCCGTTAGCCGAGCAGAGGGAGGCTGGGCTCAGGTCGGAGTTAGAGACGAGTCCTCCACGTGTTGTCTGGATGTGTTCAAGTGTTTCTGATGTGTTGTCGTTCATCAGAACCTGCAGGTTCATGGAAACGACCATTAAAACAGTGTTAATGTGGAGTCCTGTAGGTCTGTAATTAAGCTCAGCTGGTTAGGATCTCTACTTGTAGTAAAAGTGAAAGTGTAGTGGCCAGCAGAACCCCTGGTATCATCTAGATCAGTTAAAGTCGCATCACGTGTCAGTAGCTGCGTTATATCTGCTCTGGACAGTCCAGTGTTGGTGCTTCTGGAAAACAGAATAAACCAAAATCCTCAGAATGTCAAAGATTCAGGATCCAAAGTGAATCTAGCTGTGATGATGTCAGGGTCAGGGTTAGTGGGTCACGGTTCAGCTCTGAAAACTGGACCGGCAGGTTTCCAGATATGTCACGAGGGTTATTGTTAGAAATCAGAGTTTGTGTGAAGCTCAGACACGTCACATGAAACCTTTACGGTCGGCGTCCAACAAAACAGCCTCGGCTGCTGTTCTGCCAAAAAACGGCACAATGAGACTAAACTGCATGATATGAAGCCTGATGGTCAGATGGAGATCAATGTGTTGGGCTCAGATGGTGTGAACCTGAACAGGACCACCACGGTGGATGCATGGTCCTGACAGTGAAGCACGGAGGTGGCAGCATCATGGTCTGGGGCTGCATGAGGGAAGAAGGTGTTGAGGACGTATCTAGATGAATGTCTGAGGATAAACCAAAAAGCAATATGCCTGCAAATCTGCCACAAAAAGATGCAAAATGACAACAAAGAGACGCCAAAATTACCACAAATTAACTCCAAATGACCATAAAAAGACAAAAATGACCACAAATAGAAGCAAAACAACCACAACTTCGGAAACCTAAAGAATGTTAGAAGCACATTCTTTAGTCAGACCAAGATCAATGTGTTGGGTTCAGATGGAGTCCAGATGTTTGGTGTGAACCTGACCAGGATGTATGGTCCTGACGGTGAAGCACGGAGGTGGCAGCATCATGATGTGGAGCAGCATGAGGGCAGAAGGTTTTTTAAATACAGGAAATTAAAGACAGTTTGTTTTTTAAGGGCGGCTGTGGCTCAGGTGGTGGAGCAGCTTGTCCTGTGATCATAAGGTTGCTGGTTCGATTCCCGCCCCTCCACAGATCAAGTGTCCTTGGGCAAGACTCTGAACCCAAACAGTTGCCCCCAGTGGCAGCAGCAGCTTGCATGGCAGCTCTGAGGCCATCGGTGTACGAATGTGATCTCATCTTAAAAATGTACATCGCTTTGGATTAAAACATCTGCTACATGAAACTGTACATTTAACATAAGAGCAAATACCCTTCTGTCTAACTCAGCAGTAATCTGATTACTTTAAGGTGCTACGCTGGCCGTGCACTCGGCTTTGTTGTGTTTTATTGGTGGACTCTGGTGAAACTCACTTCCTATGTTCAGGTTAGAGACTCTTGTGGTCGAGCAGGAAGCTCGGCTGTTGCTTCGCTTCTCGTCCTGTGTTTGTCTTCAGGGCTGCGTTTGTGTGCAAACAGCAAGTCAATGAGAGGCGATAAGGACGGAGGTTTAATGAGGAAGCGCTGCTTATCTTTAGGTGCGAGGGCTTCAGCAGACCCTCCAAACCAGATGGCTGAGATTCTCCTGATATCGGTTTAAATGTTTCCTGCCGCTCCTTCGCTGCTCATGTTTCTTGTGCAGAGATTCTGTCGGAGAAGCCTGAACCCGATATCAGATAATGAAGACACACGAGGACGCGCTTTGTATCAACAACAGTGAAGGTGGAACTGGGTCGTGTAGTGTGGAGGGAAGTCTGTGGTTTCAGGGTTGGCAGGAAGAAGAAAAAAATATCAAGAACAATTCAGACAGCACAAAGAGACCCAAAGTAGGTCAGAAAAATGAGATGTGTTGGTTTAACGGTGAAAAGTTCCCTCATAATACAGTAAAACCCCAAATAAGTAATAAAATCTGTCCTAAAATCACCTTTAGTCATGTTTCATCCGACCACAGAAACACCTGCTTCCATGAAATGTGTCTTGAGACAAGCAGGAAGTGGCCTCGATTGTTGTGTTGCTTCCAAAATAAGAGCATGCAATTAAATGGTAAAATGAGCACCAGCTGAACTGAGACAAAAAAAACAAAACAAAACATGAATTTGTTAAATTACAGTGACAAAAATGTAATGCAAGTAAGCGCTTTAAATAACATGTCAGAGAAAAGCTATAAAAACAAATGCTCGTAAATGTTCGGAATGCGTATAAACGGAGACTTTATCAGAAATGTTTGTCATAAATATAATACATTTGCAAGAACTGAAGTTGAAAAATTCAGAAGAGCAAAACACGGCAATGACAGAAAAGTGAAGTGACACAAAACAAACTAAAATGTGTAATTTAATAGACAAATAATAGGAAAAAATAAATTAAAAATCAACTAAAAGCCGCTGAAACGGCAGGTCTGGAGTTGAGTTTTCATCATTTATTGTCTGAAATTGTTTCAGTGCACGTTTTTATCAGCACGTCATCGGAGAGTTAACGAGGAACTAAATTATCACTCTATGCAGACGATGTGTTGCTATACCTACCAGATTTAGCATCAACAGTACCACATCTTAAGACTCCAGTCAGTGAATCTGGATGAATATGGATAAAACAGAGGCTATGGACATCAGTGGTAGGAACCCCAAAAGTGTAGAAGCAGCTGGATGATAAAAGCAGTTATGATAAATAATGAGGAACCTAAATTATCACTCTATGCAGATGATGTGTTGCTATACCGACCAGATTTAGCATCAACAGTTCCACAGCTTAAGACTCCAGTCAATGAATCTGGATGCTACTCAGCTAAAGCTAAGCTCTGATGGTGTTTGTTTGTTTCTTTCAGGAGGTTCTGAAGAAGCAGAGCTACTTCATCTTCACTAAGACTCTGTTCAATGGCAGCGTCATCCATCTGAAACGTGAGCTGATTTATTCTGAAAACCTTTGTCCGGCTGCAACACGAACGCTGGATTCAAACCTTCTTCTTCTTGTGGGGTTTGTCTTTGTGCAGTTTCGGAGCAGATCTGCAACACGTCGTTGTCTCCGGTGAGCCTGAGCTTCTCGTGGTATCTGAGGAACTCGCACTGCTACGACGAAGTGTTCAACCTGGACGTGAGTGTTTTGCTCCGACTTCACCCCTCTAGCTGTGTTTTACCTTTAAGCCTGGATCGAGGCTCCCTGCTGAAGACAAAGTAATTTGTATAAGTCCATTTATCTCCATCAGAACTGAACGCTACACGTTGTCCACAGGTAGAACATCTCCCACATCTGTAGCTCAAACAGAAGAACAACGTCACAGGCGTCCTGATAAGGGGAGGAGCTTATCTTTAGCCAATGAAACAATGATTTTAAATTATCAACTAAACTGTATCTTAAATCAGTATTTATATGTTTAACGTTAGATTTTACCCTTAGCTTTTAACTAGAGAAATTATGTCTAGATGTTTAACCAAAATAGTATTTCAAGTTTTTAGCTTTTTTACCCCCCCTCCCTTTTCTTTTTTTTTTGCCGTATATTATGCAGCAGTGAGAGCGCCAAATTACAAAAATAAATTAATAAAAGAATAATAAAAACAAAACTGGAAACAAAAAGAAGAAGAAATAAAATAAAAAATAAATATTGTGGCAAAATAAAGCAATATTAATCAAAAATGAACCCGTAAAGAAAAAGGCTGATAAAAGTAGAAACATAAAGACAAATAGTTTATTTTGTTTTTTATTTGTTTTTTTAAAATTTATTTAAAATTTTAATTTAATTTAATTTATTTATGTTTTTGTTATTTTTTCATTTTAATTTTTTCTTTTTATAGTTTTATTTTTTCTAATATTGCTTTAAAAGCAAAGGAAATATGCGCAGTAGGAATGTCATTGTGCCTTTGTTTTTAAAACAAAATAAAATAAAATAAAACTGAAAAAAATAATTTAAAAAAATAATAATGTAAAAAAAAAAAATTAAATTAAAAATTAAAAAAAAAAAAAATTATTTTTATTATTTTAATTATTTGTCTTTATATTTCCACTTTTATCAGCCTTTCCTTTTATGGATTCATTTTTGATTAATATTGCTTTATGTTGCCACATTATGTAGTTTTCATTTTATTTCTTCTTCTTTTATTTTATTTTATTGTTCTTTCACTGATTTATTTTTGTAATGTGGCGCTCTCACGGCTCCTCAGTCTACGGCTCCCACAACGCCGTCCAGTTAAACGTAGAGCTGAAATGTGTCCTCGTGAAATACCGTCCTCGTTTGGGAATTGTGAATTTTTTCCCCCCATTTTCAGTGACCTGTAATTGTAAATACGTCCTCTGTTGGATCCATTTAATGGTTCTGATCTGATGGAAGCTGTTCTGAGTCCTCACCACGTTTCCAGACTGTGGGAGTTTTATTTCTGTAGATGCTGAACTCTGAACATGGCTTCACGGGTTTATTTCAGGTTTATTATTCCCACGTCTGAGAGCAAAAAATCCTCAATATTCAGCTGAAATCTTTTACTCGGTTTTGAGTCCCACTTCAGAACCGTTTGTGTCTCTTCAGTCTCTGCAGGTGGACAGCTACTTCAACTCGTCGGACGTGAAGCCGGGCCGAGGCAGCGGTTTCTTCGTCTACCACCGGTACCCGCCCGCCTCCTGCCAGCAGGTCATGGACCCCCACCTGGTGACCAGAACACACCCCCACAGGCCAAGACACGACGAAACCTGCTGGCGCTGACGTGTGCTAACATGTTTTGTTTCTGGTCTCAGTTCAACCTGGACACGTTCGACGGGAAGACCCGGCTCACCGAACCTCCTGCTCCTCCTCCTTCTCCTCAGCAGCAGCAGCAGCAGCAGCAGCAGAAGCAGCAGCAGCAGCAGCAGAAGCAGAAGCAGAAGGTGAGCCGCAGCGTCTGAATTCATGGACGTAGTGATAAACATGAGCCTGGGTGGAGGTTTCTGGTCTTCAACACTCAGCAGGTGTACTCTCTGCACTTCTTCTGGAGCGTTAAATGGAGAAGAAGGCTGGCTGGTGGTTTTTGGGACGTCTGAGAAGGTTTTGTTATCGAATAATTAGAATAAAGCAGCTGTTTTTACTTAAATTCACTCTGCAGACGAACGTATAGAATAAAATAGAACCTCAATGAAGCGGAAACATCTGGTAAAGTCAACCAAAAATGAGAAAACTGTACTGAAGCACAAAATGCACAATAACCTGTAAAACATACAAAAAAATGTGCAAAAGTGTCGAATGTACAAAAACACTGAAGTAAAAAAAACGTTAAAATGAGTTAAATGAAAATTACCGTAAGTTCCGGACTATAAGCTCCTACTTTTATTCAGGTGTGATCAGTAGTCTGGAATTTACGGTAAATCTTATTCCAAACTCAAAATCAGGCACAAAGCTGACCTACTTTTATATTTAGTTTATGATCAGGATGTTTTATGCTTTAATTATATTTCCCACATTTTTCATTGTGATATGAAGCGACTGCACTTTGAACAAACCTGCTGACTACAGCTGCTGTTGGTGCAGATCTACGAAGCCTGAAGTCCAAACTAAAGGAAGTCGTCACCTGTCCGCTTCATCATGTGACACGTTAGCATGTTAGCACCTGTTAGCAGCTGGTTCCAGTCTAATCTACTAACTGGAGCCTCCAGCTCTCTCTGGGATCAGCACCAGCCTCATCGTAGGACGTTTTCCATTTTCAGTGGCAGATAAATATGAATTTGAGTCATTTTAGACCATTTTTACTCATTTCTTAGACGTCATAAGCAAAGTTTCTCAACTTTAAGTCGTTCCGAACAATGTTTTGATCCAGGTTGACACATTTTGGACTAAGTTTGGTTTCATCTAATTTAAGACTAATTTTGAGTCATTTGAGTAAAATTTAATTCATCTAAACATCAGGTTCTGCTGATGTTAGAGCCTCAACAGGTGGTGAAATGTGACCAGAGACTGGGTTCTAGTAGAACCGTGGATCCATCCATAGACAGACACTGACAGGAACTTTATGGAGACACAACACCAGCCTGGTTTAAACATTTTGTACTTTTTTCCCTGTTTTAAGGACCAATAGTTGTTCACTTCTGTCATTTTGGTTAATTTTTTACTAATTTTGGGCACGTTTCAGGTCATTTTAAAGACATTTTCAATCATGTGGGACTTTTTCATGTCATTTTTTTAAGATAGGGGTTATTTTGGATACATTTCTCAATTTAAGTCATATTTGACAATTTTTAAATAATTTCAAAAGTTTTTTACAATAATTTTGGACAATTTAGAGCCTTTTTTTCCTATTTTCAACGGCAGTAACTAGAGATTTGGACTCCAGCAGAACCATTCAGTGGTTTGGATCTGCTGGAAGCTCCTCTTTCTGCGTCCTCGTCACACTTTGTGGCCTTGAGACGAACCTGACGCGTAGTTTAACTAAAAATCCAGAAGATCCAGCTCTAGGCGCGACTGCAGGTATTTCTAGATTCTACACCGCGATGCCAACACATTCCGGTTTGTCCGGTATCGAAGTATTCACCTTCAGACTCGACCAACCTTCACTCCTGACATCTGCTGTTTGGTTTTCAGACCGTCACGGAGAAAGCTTCAGGGAGGAAGAGGAGGGAGGCGGACAACAAGCCGGTGTGAACACAAAACAGAAACACAAACACAGTAGCACATGCAGTAATAGATGCAGTACAGACAGTAGTACAGACAGTAGTACATGCAGTAATAGATGCAGTACAGACAGCAGTACAGACAGCAGTACATGCAGTAATAGATGCAGCAGACGATGCAGATTACTGCAGAAATAACTAAATGCTGAAGCCATGTTTAGTCATGAGGACATCCATAGAACCAAGTATTTTATTCATAAACAACAGGTGTTAAATCTGTTTATTTGTTTTATCGATTCACTTCAGTTTTATTCATAATTTCACTCCCATATTAATAACATTGGTTTTTAAAAATCAATTTACTTATGTTCTGTTTTTATTGTATTTTTCTATTTATTTTATTCATTTAATGTTGTTTATGTAAAAATCCTTTTGATTTTTTATTTAAAATTTCATATATTTATTACACTGATATTTTTCTATTTTCTGTATAATTTAAAATTTTATTATTGATGTGTAAATTATTTTTTGCTAATTTTTATTTAATTATTTTATTTATATTCTTTGTGGATAATACATGTACAAATTGCTTTAAAAAATATGGATTTTTATTTATGTGTATTTTTAGCTCATGTATTGTGTATATGTATTTTTATTTTTGTATATATATTTTTTTAGTTTTATTTATTTTCTCAGATTTTTTCCTTCAATTTATTTATTCTTTATTACAATTAGTTTTTCATTTATTTATTTATTTTTTTGAATGAGAGGTTGATGCTGTTCTTTGGTATTTAAAGTCGTTGATTTTAGGTGTTAAATTGTGATTTTCCTGCTTTCTGTCCGTCAGCGTCCTGCAGCAGTGACGAAAGCTGCTTCAGGTGACACGAAAGAAGAAGCTCAGAAGGTCAGTGAGATTAAATCACGCTGCTTTTTACTGAAACAGGTTGAGTCTAGCTGTACATCCAGATCCTGTAAAAAGTTTTCACCCTCGTTGGAAGTTTCCCCTTTTTATTGCTTTTAAACACCGAATTATGGTCGATTTAATTTGGCTTTTTTTTGACAAGAATTATTTTTAAAAAAAAAATTACCAAGTGAAGGAATGAATGGAGTTACGTTAAATTCATCATTAAGAAAAAAGAAGGAATAAGGAGTCACAAGGAGACGAGTGATGGAGGTCACCAAGACACCGACGACTCCTCTGAAGCACGGCGGTGGCAGCGTCATGATGAAGCACGG